TTCCGGTAAGTCTATGTTTATTTATGTTTAATCCGCTACTTCACGCATGTTTTCTAGGTTTTGTTCCCTTTGAGGAGGGCGACTGCATCATCATGAGAGACGCGAACGGAGACGGCGCAGAGGAGTCTGATGTACTTATCAGCTGGCGTACTCCGGAGTGAGTATCATAATATATTTTGTAAATCTTTTTCTGAGTGCGCGTAGAGCGTGCTTTGACCCGGACGATGTTGCGGAGCTATGGGCGGTCCAGAAGGAGATCCTTGGGCCGGATGAGAAGCGCTCTCCAGAAATGCCGAAATGGAACGACTTCACACCTACCGGCGGGACAGCTTGGGAACGCAGCCCTCTATGTGTACCTGTCGACAATGCTAAGAGGTGCTCAACGCTGGCGTACTCCTACCAGGTTCCCCGTTCCCTTACTGCCCCCTCTCCTGGAGCGCGGGTAAAGGGCGGAATTTTGGACCCGCATCAAATTGTCCGAAAACGTACCGTGGAGGTGCGTGTCTAATCCCGTTGACTATGTAGTGTATCATAATATGGTGTCTTGCAGGTTGTGGCAAAGATTGGAGTGCGCTCCATCACTCTGAGTGCACCTGAAGAAGCGGCACGTCTCCGGCAGAGAGCAGAGGCCCTGAACTTTCCCCGAATTGGATCGAGAGACAATTACTTCTTCTCGACTATGCAACTCAATCTATCGCCTGCGAAAGAATCCAATGCGGTGCAAGCTTGTACGTGATATTATTATCGCATTAGACAATAACTAATTCCCTTGCAGCGGAACAATTCGCAGAGGATCTAGGACACTTTGGCGGTATCCATGTTGACCCGCACGATTCGCTCACAGCATTCTCCCAACTACTGGCGTGTAGCGACCTTCGCGCGGACGAGGATCCTGGCATATTTGTCCTTCTGACGCTTGGATTCTACGTGCGTTTGAAAGGATTTGTGGCCTGCTGCTTCTCTGGTCGTCACCGGCACGGTGGTTTTCCTCCGACTGCACGCCCTGGAACGATGCCGGACCCTCGCTCGTACCGCGTCGTTATCATTTCATACCCTACAGGCGCTGCCTTCGATGCGCAGGGAAAGTACGCCTTGGCGAACTTTTCTGACAAGGTAACGCTGGCGTTGCCAAAAGAGGCGATGGATCCCTAGTGAGTGGCATTGCGTAATATCCTATACAACAGTGCTTAAACTCTGGCTAGCTTTGACGGCCGCCCATCTAATGTTGTGCCGACTTCCATAGCTGCGGACGGTCTTGTCCTGACCACCCCGGAGTCGCTCATGAACTTCTTAGGGAGATCTGTCGTACAGCTGGCTTCCAAACTCTTGCAGGAGGTCTCGCCTGACTTGCAGCCTGTTCTTGATACCACTCAGATGCTTCGGTCGATCAGCTATTTAAACCCGGCCTCTGGTGTGCGTACTGTCTTGGACGATTGGGACCTCGCTCCTGGAAAGCAAGAACACTCTACAGAGTTTGGCTGTACCCGGAGTCAGATTCCTGCACTCTGGGATGATGCTATCCAGCGCAAGCTGCGCTTCTTTCCCGAGCTCGTAGACTCTGAATACTGGGACCGAGCCAATGCCCCATCTTCAGGGGCAGATGGTGGTCCCTTGGCGTCTCAGAAGGGTAAGTCCAAATCATTGTGACCCAATGCAGGCAGCTGACATGTTTTAGGCAAAGCGCGGGCTGTGACAGCTCATCATGGGAGTAAGAAGGGCAAAAAGCGTGGCAGAGAGAATGACGGTGCGTTGACTGCATGAAAAATCTTATTGAGAGCAAGAATACTTGATTTATATTTTCTTAGACCTTACTGCACTAAATACCAAGAGCCATATCCAAACCATCCGGTCTATGAAGTTCAACAACCCTTCCCTACCTCAGCCATCTTCATCGGGTGCTGGAGAGCGGCGTGGCAGCGTTCATGAACCAAAGCGCTCGCGTCATTCAAGGCGTCATGGTCCAAGCTCTCAGTCATCTATTGAGATACCACTGTCGATCCAACGAGCAGCAGCACTGCAGGCAGTGGTGGAGCAGGCACAGTCTCTGCAAACGGTGCCGCAAGCGCAATGTAAGCATTTATTAGGCCTGCAGTACCATGAGTAGCGCTAATAATATTTTACAGCCCATAACCGCGCAGATGAATCAACATCTAGCTTTGAAGAGGATGAGTTGGGGGACGATGAACTAGACGATGAACCAGACGATGATGAGTACCACCCTACACAGCAGCGTAAACCACACCTTGCAAGGGGAAAACACCACAAAGCCCCAACGCTGCTGACAAGCCATCAATTTGCTAACCTTATGGAACCTGTTGGGGATGATATGGGTGATGCAGGTATGGATCTCTGTTTATGAATCAGGACATTTACTCACAGCACCCTTAGATGTGGAAACCATGGTCATCGATAATGAGCCAGGTATTTTTATTGTAATTTCTGTTAGGATTGAGGAATTATAAGCTGACACTCATTCAGAAACCGATTTACCACATGAAGCCATGCAAGCTGTGACTATGGCTGCACAGGCAAAGGCACCAGTCAAGCGTGAGTGTATTATCTAGATTTATGCTCGTAGGCCCTATACTAAATATGCGAAGCTCACGAGCCATTCCTGCTCAATTTTGGGCTGCCCAAGCTCCAAGAATTTCTTAGCAGCTTGAACCAGAGCATCCTAAGCCTGGATAAAGACCTCACCACACATATGGTCACTCAGTCGACTGCGCACCGCACCATATATCAAGTGCTCCATCACTCGGGCAAGCCAGTTCAATATACTGCAAGCTATGGCGTCCAGCTTGAATCTCTGTGGGGTGCGCTCAGCTTTCAGCAAGAGCGCATCAAGTTCTTCAGTCTCCAGCTTTCGACTCTGCAATGCGAGTTCATGCTAGCCATCACTGCAGCGTGGACATGGCTCGAGATCGACATTCCATCCTTGGCATATGGACTCCTATATGGAAAAGGTATGCACCTACTAGTCAGTCGCATCCTTCTGACTCACAAATCTGCAGTCAAACCAACAGAGCAACATCAGTGGATCGCACAGTTGCTCAAGGATATCCGCCAGCAACTTGGTCACAAGACTAGGACTCCCTTGAGGTCGAGCGACTATCTAGCACTCAGCGCACCAAAGGAGTACCAGCTCAAGTACCGCGGACGACTTCCTGGAGAGAAGAACGGAGCTTATCTTGTCCTTGTCTCTCAGCTTCGCAACGTTCTCCAAGACTGGCTGAACTATCCACAAAATCAAGGACGCATCCAGTCTGCCTTCATCCGCGGGCTCCTAGAGAGCTTCCGCACCCCAGACGTTCTTCTCCTTCCAGGTGTCTTTGAGGGCTTCCAGCAAGTAAGGAAGACTGTGCTTCCTGGAACTGCGGTCCGCGGTTCGCGTCTCCAAGTCGCCAATCTGACGCCATTCACCAATGACTTGCGCGCTCATCCCCTCGCCAAGCTTGACTCTGAGGAGTCCAAAGTGATGGCTAAGATCTCGGAGCACCTGGAGATTCTCCGCAACATGTGGCGCTCTATGGGTAGTGGTGTCTCTGGCGGTGTATCCTGTGAGTATTTTTATTTTATTGCCACTGTTTACTAATTTTTGTCTCAGTCTCCCCAGCCTATCCACTAGACTCTGAGGAGTTTGATCATGCCATGCAGTCCGCCGCTAAGCGCTTGACC